ACTATTGTGAAGTATTTACAGATCACAAAAGCCTCCAGTACATTTTCAAGCAGAAAGAGTTAAATTTGAGATAGAGATGGTAGCTTGAGTTATTGAAGAATTATGACATCAATATCCTTTATCACCCAGGCAAAGCTAATGTGGTAGCAGATGCACTTAGTAGGAAGTCAATGGGTGTCTTGGCCCATCTTGCATTACAAAGGTGACCTTTGGGTCGAGAAATTCAAATACTGGCAAATGAAGGGATTAGATTGGATAAGGCCGAAGAAGGAGGTATAACTGCTTATGCCTTAGCGCAATCCTCTCTTGTTGCGCATGTTAAGGCTAATCAAGACGAAGATCCGTACTTAGTGAAGTTGAAAGGAGTCAGAAACAAAGAAATCATTGCTTTCACTCTGGGAAGTGATGGAGTTTGGAAGTTGAATGATCGATTATATGTACCTGATGTAGATGGTCTTAGGAAGCCCATAATGGAAGAAGCTCAGAGCTCGAGGTATTCTATCCACCCAGGTGCTACCAAAATGTATCTGGACTTGAAAAAGTTGTATTGGTGGAAAGGCATGAAGAAGCAAGTAGCAGATCATGTGGCAAAATATTTGAATTGCCAGCAAGTCAAAGCCGAGTATCAGAGGCCTGGTGGCCTAGCTCATGATATAAAGATACCACAGTGGAAATGGGAGATGATTAATATGGATTTCGTAGTAGGTCTGCCTCGCACATATCGTAAGCATGATTCAATTTGGGTTATCGTAGACCAACTCACAAAGTCAGCCCATTTCCTACCAGTAAAGACGATAGATTCTATAGAGCAGTATGCGTAGTTGCACATTAAAAAAATAATCGGATTACATAGTACTCCGATTTCAATCATATCTGATAGAGGCCCTCAATTACAGCGCATTTTTGGCAGGTATTTCAGAAAAGATTAGGTACCGAGGTCAATTTGAGCATCGCTTTTCATCCAAAGACCGATGGTCAGGCAGAAATGACCATTCAGACTCTCAGTGTTATAGATTTTGGAAGTAATTGGGATGATCACTTGCCACTGATAGAATTTGCTTACAATAACACCTATCAAGCTAGCAGTGGTATGGCTCCTTATGAAGCGTTGTATAGGAAAAGATGTAGGTCCCTAATGGGTTGGTTTGAACCAGCAGAGGTGTCGTTGATTGGTCTAGAGTTTGTTGTTGAGGATATGAGAAAGTCCAGCTAATCAGAGAAAGACTAAAAGCAGCCCGGAATCGTCAAAAGTCCTACTCTGACAAGAGGCACCATGACTTAGAGTTCATGGTTGGTGATAAGGTATTTTTGAAAGTTTCACCAATAAAAGAATTTATGAGGTTCAGTAAGAAAGGGAAACTTAGTCCTAGGTTTATCGGGCCTTATGAGATTATAGAAAAGAAGGGAAAAGTGGCTTATGAACTAGCGTTGCCCGTCGAATTGTCCTCTGTTCATCCTATCTTTCATGTGTCTATGCTTAGAAAGTACATTCATGATGAGTCACATATAATACCTGCCGATACCATAGAAATTAAAGAAGGCTTGACTTGTGAAGAGGCACCTACAGAAATTCTCAATAGGCAAGTAAGAAAGTTAAGAACAAAAGATACAACATCGGTAAAAATTTTATGGAGTAATCATGATTTAAAAGAGGATACGTGGAAGGTAGAAGAAGATATGAGGAAGAGGTATCCTTATTTATTTGAGGAACAAGGTATGTGAACCTAGGTTTGGCTTGGCATTTGTATTTCATTTATTAAATGCAAGTTAGCATGTGTTTAAATCCTAGATAGATTATACTTTAGTTGTTGACATAATTTAGTTTTTGTCAAAGTATATTTAGTTATTAAATAATTTAATATCATGCCAGAGTATATTTAATTCATTAAAATTATTTACTTTTTGCTGAAGTATTGTGTTTTAGATTTTGGTTCGTTATTGTGGTACCTCCTTGTCGGAGTGTGAGTAATTAGTTTATGAGCTGTGTATAGTGCCTATGAATGACCTGTTATGGTATATTTAGTTGGTGTATTTGTGGTATTGGTGACAGAGATATTTTTTTGGATAGTCTAATTTACAAGGGAGACTCTGCCGAAAATTTTGATAATCTAGAGAGTTAGCCAAAATTATAAGTCACTTGGGAAAGTGAGTAGTGCTAAGAAAACTTAAGAAGTTCAAGGACTTAAGGAATGATTGTTAACTTAAGAATAATGCCCTAGCAACATTCGAGGATGAAAGTTTTAAAGGAGGGAAGATTGTAACACTCCTCAAATCTATAAAAGTTTCAACACACGCTAAATATAGAATTTAATTTTTTTTATCTTGCCTTGAGTGCATAAAAATTACACTTCTATTACGGATTTAAACCCTTGTAATTGACTTTTGAGTTACTTCTCTATTTATAAATAATTGGATATACAATTACGGGAATTTTAGTAATTTTAATATTATTAATTAGTAAAAGTGGATATCATTAATGATTAGTTAAGTCAAAACAAAAAATAAATAAAATCATATCATATCATATTATATTATAAGTGTGAACAATTTAAGTTAAAGTTAATTTACTAATTTACCCATTAAAAGCTGAATAACGATTTTACCCTCTAAATATGCATTATCTCTTCAAATTTAATGTATATAAATGTAAAAACACTAAATTATATATGTACTGCATTTGGAACTATTTAGCATGAGGTACGTTTAGTATTCCCCAATTAATAATGATTCTTATTATGTTCCCAATTAAACCAATGAAATATTTTGGAATACAAACGGACGCGAAGGAATGAGAGGTATGTCTTTTCAATTTATATTTATTGGTATGTTTTGCTTTTGTCCAAACAGGAACAATAGTTTAGGTGAATATATCGATAAACAGGTGGAGAGAAAAGACATGAAGAAAACTACACAATCCCACCCAATGCTACGAAAATGTTAGGTGGGTTTACATTTTTTTTTTCCTTTTAATAATATATAACCTTGCATGCCTTTAATCTTCCAAGTATTTTGAATCACTTTAATTATTATTTATCTATATTACTTAAGTAATTATTCTGCTCTAATATTAATAACGATGCTCTTTGCTTTAATTTATGAAGTTGGTATGATCGTTCTCTTATATATAAATTACGGGACACAAATTCTTTTTTTTTTCTTTTTTTTTATAGCTAAGTACTTTTGATCTTTGTATATCTATTAAGGCATGTGTTTGATCTTTCAACTTCATTGTGCTATGGTCTGGAAATAATAATAGAGCAGGTCTAACATCTTCACTTTATTTAGCAACTACGAGAAGAATCTTGAGGAAGATGAGTTCATAGAGCTAGCTAGCTACAATGGCCAAGTATTTATGATCAAAAATAAAAAAAATTCAATTGCCAAGTATGATTTCCTCAATTGCATGCATGACAATAACTATTTTGATTACCTTAGGTTTACGTTAACCAAATTTGTTTTGTTTGAGATTTTTGTGGTTTCTTCTAAATTATCTTTTGCAGGTCGGATTTTTGCTTTAAAGTATGCACAGTTTATAACATAAAAAGTTAATCGCTTCATATCCCTTTTTTCAAGTAAAATAAAAAATAAAAAATATAAAGATAAATTAATCGAGGTTATTTTTTATATCATTTTTTTTACTTTAGTTAAATTGAAATAATCGTTTTCAATATAAAGAAAAAGTCGGCAAATATATTAAAAATTACTTTACCATCCTTCAAGAGAGAGCAATGTGCAAGGATGTTTACGTTGTTGTACTTTTATTTTTATGGTTCAAATAAATTTATATGTGATTAAAATTTATTATTTTAAGTTATAAATTTTGTAATTATTACAATAGAATGCACGTGTAACACACGAATAGTCTAAAAGAGAGTGGTCATAAGAGATGTATTGAGATGCTAGCCTTCAATGTTCTTCATTAAATTTATCAAGTATGGAAATTTCCAATGATGAAAAATTGGGAAGAAATAAGCATGGGCAACACCAGATCAGTTTATTCTTCAACCTCGCAAAAGGAAAACCTTGTCGACAATCATCCTAACCAATTAATTGAGAGGAAATATTGTAACAAATATTTTATTACTATAAAATTTATGAAAAGGAATTCACACAGGCCATTTTAATAAAGTATTAAATATTGTTTCATGTTCTTAAAATTGGGCAACCTTGAGCATTTAAGATTGCATTACGAGGGTGTTTAATTTCCTTACAGTCCATAGAAGGACAAAATGATTTTTGTGAATAATATGATACAAGTTGAGTATTAACTCATTGAACTCAAATAAATACATAATTCATACATCGACATTACAATAAGGTGCTCGACGATTTTTTTGGGGCAAGCTGTTTTAATGTTAACGAGTGAGCCGAATAGGATCGCCATTTATCATTGCAAGAACTTACACTCTTTTTTTAATTTTCAAATTCAAACACATGTTTTAACAATCTTATGTGATTGCTTAAATTTTTTTGGTTATTGATATGGAATACATGCGCAACGTGCGTGGCCAAAAACTAGTATTTATAACAAACTACAAAAGTATCGCATATCAGGTGTACACTTTATTGCATATTTGTATCACCTAAAATTAAAGTAAGTAACATATGTATTTAATTAATCTTTGATTATTCATATTCCTGAGTTCAAACCAAACGATATTTAATCATATTGACTTCAACAAACAAGTCGCTATGTGACGATCGAATTTATCAACGAAACTTGTACTTTATTCTCGTGTATAATTATTTACTCAAAGTTATATTTTAATAATATATCGATATATATATATATATTTTACAAAATTGGGTACCATATGATTTGGAATACATATGCATCACTATGTAATGGAGATCAAAAGGACCAGTGAAAGAAGGGATTAGTCAAACTAAGCAAGCAGAGGAGACTAGCTTACAGTAGCTTGAACCATAGAAGCTTGGTCAAGTAGGAAATGTAGACATTGAGAATATACACTGATCAGACAACTGCTCAGCAGGATACTATGCAGACTCCCTCCCAGCAACAGTGTATAGTGGAAAAAAGAGTGGACAAAAGTAAAGCTATAGAGGACAAGATTGAGCTGGATATGGTAAACTTTCCAGCTTTATCAGTTATTATTATGAGGAATTCCTTTGAGCCATTGAACAAGGGATCATGGTGTACTAGCAATGTACTCCCTGATAAAGGTAAAGGTAGAATGACATACTGATGAAGTGGCTATTTTGGAATATTAAGGGGGTGAATAAGAAGTATAAATAAAAAGAGTTAAAAAAATACATTAGTAGCCAAAGAATAAAATTAGCAGTTATAGTGGAAACAAGAGTTAAGGAACACAATGCTAGCAAAATTATAACAAAAATAATTCCAGGATGGAACTATGCTACCAACTATCAAGATGCTTCAAATGGGAGGATATGGTTTACCTGGGATTCTCAGTGGTACAATGTTACTATCCTAAGTGTTGCAGCTCAATTTATACACTATTTGGTACAAGATAGGGTAGGGATAGTTGACTGTGCAGTTACAGCTATATATGGATACAATACTATAGAGCAAATAAAGCAGTTATGGAGTGGCTTAAAGAGCATTGCAGCAGGAATCACAAAACCATGGTTGTTATGTGGGGACTTCAATGCAGTTCTATATACTAATGATAGGCTGATGGGCAATCCTATTACTTACACAGAAGTGCAGGACTTTGCTGATTGTGTAACTACTCTGACTTTGAATGAGCTAGCATGGACAGGCGATTACTACACATGGTCTAACAAGCAATCTGGTGCAGAAAGGATCGACAACAGGATTGACAGAGCTTTTGGCAATTATGAGTGGATGATGCAGTGGGGTTATGTGATCACTGAGTATGGATTACTATACATATCTGAACATACTCCAATGTTGATTACTCTTCATTCAGCTTCTAAACCTGGTAAAACACCCTTCAGATTCTTTAATGTATGGGCAGATCATGACAGTTTATATCCATTGTAGAAAGAGTCTGGAACCAATCATATACTATGGGCAAAATGAAGAACATCTGGGTAAAACTGAAGGAACTAAGACCTTTGTTCAGGACTCTAAATACTGAACACTTTGGAACTATTAGTATGAAGATTGAGCATACCAGAATAAGCTTAGAGGAGGTGCAGCAGAAGATCAATGCAGCATACAATGACTCTCTGATTGAAGAAGAGAAAAGGTTGTTGCAGAATTTAGAAAAATGGTCTTTATTGAAGAAAGTGTATTAAGGTAGAAAGCAAGAACTAAGTGATCAAACTAGGAGATTCAAATACAAAATATTTTGCAGTTGTTATGAAAGAAAGAAGCCAGAGAAAACAAGTAAATGAACTTGTGTCAATCACAGGAGATAAGCTTATTCATCTAGAAAGCATAAAACAAGAAGTGGTGAAATTCTATAAGTTTTTAATGGGATCAGCAACCCACTCTCTTCCTGCCATAAATAAGGTGATTATGAAGAATGGTCCAATATTATCACAACAACAGAAACTTGCTCTATGTGTTGAGGTTATTTACAAAGAGATTTATACTGGATTATGTGCTATTGATAGTGACAGAGCACGAGGAATTGATGGCTACAATACTTATTTCTTCAAGAAGGCATGGGTGATTATTAAAAATGAAGTTAACCAAGTTATTAAAGAGTTCTTCAGTACTGGGAAGTTATATAAAGCTGTGAATTGTACTTCTATCACATTGGTTCCTAAACTAGCTAATCCTAGTACAATAAGAGACTACAAACCTATTACGTGTTGCTCCAGGTTGTATAAATTGATCTCTAAAGTCTTAGCTGGCAGAATTCAGCAAGTTATTGCGTCAGTGATAAGTTAAGCTCAACTGGTTTCATACCAGGAAGGAGAATAGCAGATAACATTATACTAGCTCATGAGCTAGTTAAAGGTTACACAAGGAAAAATATTTCTGCTAGGTGTGTGGTCAAGATTGACCTTCAAAAAGCTTATGATTCAGTTGAATGGAGTTTTTTGGAGCAAGTTATGATTGAAATAGGATTCCCAGCAAGGTTTTTGTGAACTGGATAATAGAGTGTGTAACAACTGTCAACTACACTGTCATGGTCAATGGAGAGCCTACCCCACTATTTGATGTTGCTAAAGGTCTAAGACAGGGAGATCCCATCCCCCCTTTCCTGTTTGCAATTGTAATGGAGTATCTTAGTAGAAGTCTCAACAAACTAAATGAGGTAAAAGGTTTCAAGTTCCACCCCAGGTGTGCAAAGTTTGGGATCACTCACCTAAGCTATGTAGATGATCTTTTGCTATTTGCTAGAGGTGATCTAAACTCTATCTCTCGAATGCATGATTGTTTCAACCATTTCTCTCAAGTCTCTGGTTTACAAGCAAATTTGAAAAAGAGTTCAGTGTATATTAGAGGAGTTCAACAGAGTACCAGGTTAGAGATTATTCAAAAGTTGGGCTACACAACTGGAGAGTTACCATTTAAGTATCTTAGCATTCCTCTTGCTACCAAGAAACTTTCTCTGATACAATGGTATCCTCTGATAGAAAAGATAGTAGCAAGGATATCCTCATGGGCTGCAAAGAAGCTTTCATATGCTGGAAGAGTGTAGCTAGTCCAAACTGTCCTATTTGGTATTCAATCCTATTGGTCACAGCTATTCAACTTGCCTGCAAAAGTTATGAAGATGATAGAGACCTACTCCAGGAGTTATATTTGGTCTAGGATCAATACCATTACAAAAGTCTCTGGTGGCTTGGAGTAGGATGTGCACACCTAAGTCAATTGGGGGCTTGGGTTTGATTAATCTACAAGTATGGAACATGACAACTATAGCAAAACTCTGTTGGGATGTAGCAAGTAAGCAAGACAGACTGTGGATCAGGTGGATTCACGCATTTTACATCAAAGATAAGAGACTAGAAGATATGGCAATCCCACAACAGGCAAGCTGGATGGTCGGGCAGATACTGAGTGCCAGAACAGTACTACAACAAGTACAACATAAACAACATATCAAAAAGAGCATGGTTAGACAGTTCTACCTTCAGCCACTGGGAAATAGGCCTAGAGTCAACTGGAAGTGTATTATGTTTCAAAACAAAGCTAGACCTAATATTCACAATGTGGCTACATTTGCATGAGAGACTTTTAGCTGCAGATAGATTGATCAAATGGGGGGTAACTGTGGATTCAAAATGTTCTCTATGTCAGCTTCATGATGAAACTGGAGACCATCTGTTTGTGGAATGCCTCTTTACTAAGGCAGTGTGGTAGAAGATTTTACACCGGACGCAAAAATAGGATATAGTTCGAGATAACTGGGTGCAACATCAATAATGGATGATACAGAGTGCTAAAGGCAGATCATATGGATCTCAATTATATCGAATGGTGTATGCAGAGGTTACACATAGTGTTTGGATTGAAAGGAATTTGAGAATATTTCAACAGAGAAGCAGAAGTGTTGATAGCATAGCTAGAGAAATAGCCTACATATGTAATGTGAGAGCTACCAAAGAAATTAGTAGTTTAGTTCAATATTTTATGTTTCATTAGACATAGCATGTAGGTTTGAGGTTGTCTCTTTGAGTTTTTGATAGATATAGCTGTTGAGTTTATAAAGCAGGCTATGAATTGTACAGATTATTGGTGATTAATAAAAATGTTAATTACCTAAAAAAATAATACACGTACATCGTACATGCCGAGAGACTAGTACTATACTAAACGCATGAACACCCTAAGTTAGAAGTTGATTACAAATTTACCCATCAAAAGCTAATTGACAGTTGCCCTTCAATCAACCCTACCCCTATACAAACTTTTGTATAAAAATGTAACTTACATTCTAACAAATACAAAAAAGGTGAAGATATTGAAAAATTGTAATGGTTAATCATAATGATAATGGTGGTTAGACTCTTCAATTACCTACGGTTATTGTGCTCTTCAAAAACTAATATAAAATTTTAAATTAATTATAAAAGACACTTGAACAATTATTATCAAGTGCAAGTAATATGAAATTATGAGCAAATGAAGAGACTATCGTTACTACTCACCTTTGGTTGAATGAGCAGTAATTACCAAGAGGCAAGAGTCATATTCATAACTTTCTTATCTATATGTTGTTATGTACATAATACTATGCTTAATTTACCGATATATAGTGAAGAATCTTGAGATATATACTTATTCAAGTTTTGGACATCCAAAAAATCTAAGAAATAGTGGTTCATATTCTTCAGAATTATAAATACTCTATACACCAATATCAACTTTCTCCGTATCTGTAGCGGTAAATGGAACTTTCAGAGAGTAAGAAACTTTCGGATGTACTTTTTACTCTTTTCTCTCTCTTTATATTTTGATGTCTTTATCTCTATATGTGAAACTTGTGGTGAACTCTCATTGTGCTATAGAGTAGAATCTTATTAACTGATATTGGTCTCAATTTTGCGGGAGGTTCTCATGGGTATATGTAAATTGTGTATTTTGTAAATTGATTTATGCGGTTGAATTACTTGAGTTGTCATGGGTTGGTCGTTTATTTTAAGTGTACCATTCATTGATGGGATTTGGAGGAACAGTAAATAATTCATATTTATATGAAACAAATCCATTCAAATGTTAACATATAAAAAATCCGATTACCATTTTTATCAAATGGTATGCTTTGTCTTTTCAGTGAGTTGAGAATTTACTAATTTCATCGTCTAATTTGTTTCCAAATTAGCAATAAATATCATTTTATTAGTAATTTTCTTCACGGTGTGTTAATATCTTTTGGTAATTTACTCACTCTCTCAGGTGATAATTCTGAAGATATGAAAACAAGGTTGAAATTCTGGGTTGTGCCTAGTACTATCAAATTGTACAGTTAGAAGAGAAACGAAAAGGGAATGCAAAAGTTAGAAAGATAACGAGGGATAAGGGGTCATTTTATTTTTATATCTTGCTATGGAGCAATTATTGACGCAATTATGTTTTTTCTGACAATGAATTGGGGGTGAGATGGCCAAATAGCCAACATGCTTTTTTGACTTGAGAGTTGACACATACACTCTCCAGCAAGTCCATCAACCCTTCCTATGGAGAAGGTTTAGGCAAGAATGGTTGGAGAGTGTTATTAAGGTACTAAAACCTTATCCTGTTTTGAAATTGGATTTTTTCCTTTAAATTTTATTTTATTCCTCAAACACATATTTTGATAATATTTATAATTTTTTTAAAAAGAATTGAACCTATTGATACGAAATACATGTGTAACATACGTAACCAGAACTAGTAAAATAAAGGGGGGGGGGCTAAAGCCCATAAAGGGTTGTTGAAAAGCAAAATGCTTAAAGCCTTAAGCCTTGGACGAAAGGGTTAGGAAAAATTCCAAAGAAATCAAAGCAACAGACTTCTACGGACAAGAAGTAGAAGCACCTCCCATCGAAATACTCACACAGGCAGCCTAGGTTTCTTTACAAATCACTAGTTTTTGAACTCATGTATATACAATTTCCTATTCTCAATTATCCTACAGTGTAAGAATTGGATAGTTAATTCCCTTCTTCCTCTGTATCGACAATAAGTTTAATGTTTAAGTGTGAAACTTTGAAATTAATTAAGATGCACTGGTTGTTGTAGAATCGATTGGTTGACATGTATAAATTGGACCGGAGCCTACGTATTGACTCGGGGAATTTTGAGGTGAGCGGATATAAGCCTTTACTAAACTGGTTCTATTCACAAAAACATGCCCACAAAGTGTTTGATCAAATGCTTTAACGAGTCAACATATGCTTAATTGAAACAAGTGAGTTAATGTTCACTAAGTATATTCTAGTTAAAGCTTATGTATTTTACTCGAGAAGTATAAGCGTCTATTTTTCATATTTTTATGCTTTATTACATGATCTTACTTGTTAAAGTTTCAAGAGTTAGATAGAACTTTTAAAAATACTTTGAGTAATTTTAGTTCATGCTTATGCTATGTATACACTCAAGAATATTATTATGAATATGACAGATCACTTTCAAACAATATTTAGACTTGAAAAGTCACAAGAACATTTTAGAAAGAAAAGATTTTTGGGAGTATCCTCTATTCTGAGAAGGGGTTATCGTCCAGGTCGAGGGTCCTGACAAGGCATTGGCTTCCTGAAACTACTTGTGCCAAAGTAGGGAGCACACGAGCAGAGGGTCTCATTGTTGAGAATTTACTTAGCAAGACTAAGATATGATACATGAGCGTTGATAACCA